ACCAGATGACAAAGCTAACCTATTTAACAATTTCTTTGCCTCCACTTTCCTGAGCAGGGACTGGAACAGCCACCCCCACTCTGGGCCCCCCTTAGACCCCAGGGGAGGCACATCTAGGCCAAGGGTTAGTGAGGAACTAGATAGGAAACTTCTGGAGGGACTAGATGCATTCAAATCAGCTGGGCCGGACGATCTCCACCCTAGAGTGCTGATGGAATTAGTTGCAGTCATGGCGGGACCCCTGGCATGGCTTTACGAGCACTTGTGGTGCTCTGGTGTAGTGCCAGAGGACTGGAAGAGGACCAATGTGGTCCCCATCTTCAAAAAAGGGAGGAAGGAGGACCCAGGAAACTAAAGGCCAGTTAGTCTTACCTTGATCCTGGGCAAGCTTTTTGAGAGAATTATTCTGGCACATGTCCACAAGGGGCCAGCAGGGGAGATTATGCTTAGGGGCAACCAACATGGGTTCATTAGAGGCAGGTCCTGTCATACCAACCTGGTGGCCTTCTACGACCAGGTCACCATAGCCTTAGATGCAGGGGTAGCAGAGGAAATGGTCTTCCTGGACTTTTGGAAGGCCTTTGACACCGTCTCTCACCCTGTTCTCATTAAGAAACTGGGGGACCGTGGTGTAGACACCTACACAGTCAAATGGGTCGCCAACTGGCTGGAGGGTCGCACCCAGAGAGTGGTAGTGGATGGGTCATTTTTGACCTGGAGTTATGTGGGCAGTGGGGTTCCGCAGGGCTCAGTCCTCGGGCCCTCACTGTTCATCGTCATCAGTGACTTGGACAAAGGTTTAAAAAGCACCCTGTTCAAATTTGCTGATGACACAGACGTGGGGGGATGTGGGCCTGCTAGAAGGGAGGAATAGGCTGCAATTGGACCAAGACAGGTTACAGGGGTGGGCAGATAAGAATAGCATGGGATTCAACACTGACAAGTGCAAGGTGATGCACCTGGGAAGGAAGAACCATCAGCATACCTACAGGCTGGGGAACTCCCTTCTCCTCAGTGCAGAGGCAGAAAAGGATCTTGGAGTCATCATTGACTCCAAGATGAACATGGGCCGGCAGTTAGAAAGGCCAACCGCACCTTGTCATGCATCCACAGATGCATCTCAAGCAGGTCCAAGGAGGGGATACTCCCCCTCTATGCAGCACTGGTCAGGCTGCAACTGGAGTACTGTGTCCAACTGGGTGCCACACTTCAAGAGGGATGTGGACAACATGGAGAGGGTCCAGAGGAGGGCCACTCACATGATCAGGGGGCAGCAGGGCAGGCCCTATGAGGAGAGGCTACAGGACCTGAACCTGTTCAGCCTCCACAAGAGAAGGCTGAGGGGGGATCTAGTGGCCTGTTACAAACTAGTCAGAGGGGACCAGCAGGCATTGGGGGAGTCCCTGTTCCCCCGAGCACTACCAGGAGTGACCAGGAATAATGGTCACAAGCTGGCAGAGGGTAGATTTAGGCTAGATATCAGGAGGCGCTACTTCACAGTCAGGGCAGCTAGGATCTGGAACCAACTTCCAAGAGAAGTGGTGTTGGCTTCTACCCTGGGGGTCTTTAAGAGGAGGCTAGATGTACACCTTGCTGGAGTCGTTTGACCCCAGTACTCTTTCCTGCCATGGCAGGGGGTCAGACTCGATGATCTGCTCAGGTCCCTTCCGACCCTACCAACTATGAAACTATGCTAGACATTGCAATGCTTAAATCTCTTATTTGACTCTAACTTAAAGTCACCATTCCATATGAGTACTACAGTTTTCAAAGCTCACAGATTGCAGGTTCACAGGAATGGAAGCACTTCACAAATGAGGGAAATTTCAAAATTGGAGTAGGACTTTTGAACATTCTGGCTTCATTCAAATACTTTTCTTCAACAGGGCAATATAACTTTCACTTAAATTAGGAAGAAGTGCTGCCTAATCCCTCTGGGCATGCATTCTTTCAGTCTACTGCAGAATTTAATCGCTCTTGCAAAACTTCAATTTCCCTCTGTAGTTTTGCAACAGGCATTCTAAATGCAAATTTTCAGAGGAAGAGGAAAAAAACCCCTACAGATGTGACAGGAAAACCTACCTATAATTAAAAGCTAATTAAAATCCAACCACATAAACTGTGGGATCTACCCATTATTGATGTAAAAAAGTAGGGGGGTAAGGGAACAATGGTTTAATTTTTCAGTTTGTCATTTAGATAGTTCTTTCTCACTTGCTGTCTTCTACCATATAGTATTTCCCCTTTCTTAGAGAATCTACAAACAGCTTTTTGCCTAAAACATGTGCTCAAGCATACACTACATGGCTTTACTCATAAACTAAGTGGGTTTGCATAAAGATACTTAGCTGTGCAATTAAAGTAGCTGATTTGCAGTCCCAAGAACAAGCTATGTGTATGCAATGTTTGAGTGTAAAAAAAACAACCCCCACACTGCTCCCCCCAATCCCCCGCCCCCACCAACCTTTGGGTAAAAAACCTAAATTGTGGGCATTTGAATCTAAATATTTGGCTTTAAAGATCTTTTTGACTACCCCTTGTCTCATCCTTACAGCTATATCAAAGCTAATATTAGTCACCAACCTATAAGACTTATATCTTCCCTTCCTAATTTTTACTTGGTGGTGTTGTTTCTAAAATTAAACAGAAGGACAGGCAAAGTCTCTACCAGACAGCTTTATATAAAATACTATAATAATAATTACACTGCTAGGAGAAAGACAGCTATAACATAGTAGCAGTCAATTACTCTTTACCAAATGGAGAGAACAAGACCAATTAGTTCCAAAGTAAAGGGCATGCAAGCAGCACAGTAAAAGATCATAGGAACTGACATTCATTCACCCATCATCTTACAGAACGCACATTTTCATCAATCAAAGTTTAAGAAGAAAAATGACAAGTGCCTAATTCACAAAGAACAATTCTTTGCTGCCCATGAAATGGCCCCTACTCAGGGGCCATATCCAGAATATAAATCCAATATGGGTACAAACAGTTACTGTAACAAGTGTAGACTGAGTTTACTGGTCAGCACAGAAATCTATAGCTTCCAGCCTGGCATGTAAAAAGCTGTACTACCACACTAGGGCAGTAGTTCTCAATCTTTTTTGAGCTCCTTGATGGACTTATGGCACCCCTCAAAAATGCTATCTTTTTTTTGACTATAGGAAAATATTAGAGCAACTCTTCTGTTACAAAGAACTCAGAAAAAACCACAACAGGTTGGCGTGTTTTAACACTATGGATTCCTATGTCAAAACTCTGGGCTGACCTTGTGAATCCTGTATGCATGCCTAACTGCTAACATTATGTGGCATCCCACAGCACATATGAAAGGATATCATAGCACCCTGATTGAGAATCACTGTTGAAGCCCAGGAGTGGGATTTTAAAATGATAAGTGACATCAAAGAGTAACATGTTGTTGTGACAAATCTGAAAGCTCACATGATTATTGGGTTCATCAATACATCAGAGATTGAATTCTCTTTTTATTAACAGCGTTCAACTTGATTGGTTTCACCAGAGATACTGCTGCCCTGACTTATACCAATATAAACAAGATAGAAACTAGCCCAACATAATTGTAGAAGAAAGATGTTCCTCGGAGTATTAGCTAGTCTGAGATATGGGACATTAGGTATAAGTGCTCATTCATCAAAGATTTTCAGTGTGATCTTGGGCAAGTCACTAATATAGTCTGTGCCTCAGTTCCTTGTCTATAAATGAGTGCTTCCTCCACTCACAGGTAGGGATGACGTTGTGAAGACTGGGATGTCCTAAGTTATGACAGTATTGTGGATCATGTCAGTACCTTGAATAAGCCAGTAATTGGTCATTTAAATGCAGTTTTTAGATTCTGTAACACAAAGGAGATGACTGAGATCTTCAAGACTTTTACCTTTACTTGTATTTTTATGTGAAGAGAAAGGTATCTCTATTTACTTAACAAAACTGTGATGGAATATATTGTTTCAACACTTTGGCAAGACTACTTCACCCAAGAATATGTACTAGATATTCACAGCTTTATACCAAAAACTGTTTACTTAGGACAGTGCTGATATTTTAGTGGCAGGCAAAAATGACTGAAGTAAAAGAAAATGGATTTTGATTTTTAGGTAATCTGTCCGTAACATTGCTTGTTTTTAGCTTCTGTGGTAAAATCCTGCCTTCAGAGTTATCTTGTACACTACCTCCTCTAAGTTCTGTGGGAATTGCACATATATTTTAGGAACACTGCTTTAATGAGTCTTTTTGTACAGATTCTGCCCTAATATTATGGGTCAGATGAGGGCAGTGCTGAGTCCCAGGGCTCTTGTGAAGATACAGGCCTTATGTTTATTGCACTAGTTTTCCACAGGATCTATTTATGTATGTGTGAGGGGCTGTACAGGCACAAACCCTAGTTCTTCATTTCCAATATCCTACCACCTCCACAGTGGATTCTCCACACCTGTATTTTTTTCCTCAGAGCACGCTTCTCCTGCTTGTTTTACTATAGGAAATTGTGTCCTCTTAATTTAGGTTCTTCAGGTGGAAACAGAAGTGCAGCTCCCCACTGTAACTGGGAACATTTTGCAGGAAGCATTTTGAGTTACAGTAATCCCCCTGACCAAACAGAAGTTCGTTGTTGGTTCCAGGGGAAGGGGAATCTAGCTGCTGGCTGCAACCTGCAGCTGGTTTCCCTTAGCAACAGCCCATCTTCCTAGCCAGGCTGGAAAGTTTTCAGGGGGGAAAGGGAGAAGAGCGCGCTCATTCATGAGGATTCCCCAGCTGGTACTGAGGGTGGGGTGGGCAAACTGGAGCCCCTCCACCTCAGGGGAGCTTCAATACACCCATCCCACCCTTCAGTAGGGGTTGAAAAATCCCCAGATTGAACTCCTTCTGCTCCCTTTCCCCCCTCAGTCATTTTTTAAGCTGTCTGCAGCTTCACACTTGTGTTTCGTCACGGCTATGGACTATTTTCTGTGGTGAGATTGGGCGAAAATTATCACTTTTGTCTGGTTCCTTCCTGAGTCTGAAGACCTTAATTCTGACCCATTCAAGTTAAAGGGGCCTTTGACACTGACTTTATGTGGTGTAGGATTATGCCCAGGGCACTCATAATTGAGACTTTCTAGGCTTTAGAGCAGAGTTAGATCTCACATATAATTGCATAAATCTGGAGTTAGTTACTTCATAGAATCAGCAGAGCTTAGAAGGAATAAAATGATTATATCAAAATCAGTCACAATATTTTTAATCACCAGAATTGGACATTAAAATGGAAACAGTTTGGGTTTTCTCTCTTCTGCACCAATGCCTTTTTTTCTCTCCTTTTCATTGGGTGGGTGCCAGAAAGCATGCACATACATCATTCATCACCCTATTTGTCCTTCACTCCCATGCTGATAAAATCATTCTATGCCAAACTTCAGTCTAAGTAACCATTTTAAGTAAAATTCAGGTCATACATATCTGTCTACCCTTAAAAAAAAGAGAGAATTACTACAAGCATTCTCTACTTACTCCAAGAGTCATGTCAGTGAGAGTCATTGATTTATTGTCAACATATCCAACCTCATGTTGATAGCATCTGTAAACACTTTCATCCTTTTCTAACATGCCCATCTAGGAAATAATGAACAATCCTTACCAACCTCCAGGAGCTGCAGGTGGGGTACAACATTTCTTTTTTTGTGTTGAGTGTTTATAACAGTGTTGGGAGCTCTCTCTACTGCAAGAGATCTTTTTCTAGCATAAGTGCCTTGGGTCCATAGAATCTCTCTCAGACACACCTGTATTAATGTGCATGGCAAGCATCACATGCTAAATTATTTTTTAGCTGTTTTAGGTGAAAACATCCAGTATTTGAAGGAAAAAACTTATCCCCTCCCACGTTAGGCACTTTAGAAATGTTTACTCTTAAGTGCCTAAGTTACTTAGGAGCCTAAGAACCAGATCATATACCACCTACAGGACATCGAAATGGACTTAGGTGCCCCAAAATGAATCTATTCCACTCTATTCAATTCCCTGAAACTCTATTAATGTATCTACTTTTAATCTAACACACCATCATTTTACCTGAAACCACAAAAAGCCTCAAGAAGGAGCAGGACCCACCAATCTTTTGTTGTAACAGTTTTCAGGGACTCAAACCTGGTGGAGTGGGATTTCACTTATGAACTTAAGTCTAGTAATGTGC